TCCTCTTCAGCCAAAAATAAATGAGGGGTGGCCAGAGGGCAGGAAAGGCAACAGAGGGTCGGGAAGGAAGTGGAAGGCTGAGGAGGATAAAATGCAGAGGTGAAATGAGGCTTTGCAGCAGGTTCCTGTCTGGGAAAATGTGATTCTCCTTCTGGGGCCAGAGAAGGCTCTTGGGGACACCTCAGGGAGGAAAGTGAGATTAGACACAAGCAGGACGAGAAGCTGCTGATGGCAGCAAGAAGAGAGGAAAGAGGCTGAACAGGGGGAAGTAGGTCTTGTTTCCAATGGAGCTAGTTCTTCTGGGAAGGGACAGTTCTGTGGGACTCTGAGGCTGATTTCAGAGGAGGTGAGTCATTGGAGATGCAGCTATCCCCTGAGCAAGTCCGTCCTTCTGTCCTCTTAAATATAACATTCTCTGAGGCTTGCAATCCGAAAACAAAGGCTGGAGAAGGACGTAGTTGCAGAATCCACACAAATGTTTCACTGGTTTCCAGTTCCATGAGACCCCCCATCCAACAAATGAATGAATGAATGAATGAGTGAATGATTCCCTGGTCAATTGAGATTAGAGGATGCTTCGTATTCATTCTCCCTTTTGGAGAATAACAGAGCAAGTTAACTTATAATAGGCTCTGAGAAGCGCTGTTCTAAAGGAATCTGTCTAACACAACATTTTTTCAAACCTGCTTGACTGAGGTCAGGCCTGCAACCTCACACAACAATTTACACTATGTGAACGGTGACCCCTGGATCATACAGTCTATATGGCTGTAGGAGTGGCCCTTGCCATAGGCCTTTCTTTTTTTTCTTTAAGTAATATCTACTAACATCTTGAGAGATTCTTGCATTCTGTAGGACACGGTTTCGGGAACACTGGATTGAAACAATATCTTGCCTGTCATGAGTATGGAAACGGCACTACTTTCACAACATTAGTTGGGCAAAAAGTCCGAGTGCGGTTGACTTGTGCCAATGCACTAATCCATCAATCCTGCCTGGAACCTACAAAATCCTTTTGCAAGATGGTTTCCTGAGATAAGGGTTCAGCTTGTGGCCGCAGACAGAGGGTGAGATCACTAGCTTTGCATGGCAATCCCATCCCCACAGTTTCCGCAGCTCAGTACTTTAAGCCATTATTTCTCCTCCTTTGAGCTAAGTCAGTTCTGGTGTTGGCAGGTGGTGGTGGAGGAAGTGCTCAAAGGCCCTTTCAGTGTTTAAAGGCCACTGAGATGCAGCAATGAATATACACAAGAAGGAATTCTTGAATGGAAGTGTGTGTCATAACTGCGAAGGTACTGAAAAGATCTTCTTGAGCTGTTCCTTGTCTCTAAGCAGTTAATAATAGCTTATAAATCTTTAGTGTTTTTTGGTTTAGATTCTACAACAACAGTTCTTAAACTTTGCTGCACATCGGAACCACTTGCGAGGCTTTTAGTCCTGGTGTCTGGGCTGCATCCCCTCCCAACGAAATCACAGTGTTGGGAGCAGGATCCTGCATTTGTATTTTTTTAAAGATCTCCAGGAATTCCAATGTTTTTTGGTTTAGATTCTACAACAACAGTTCTTAAACTTTGCTGCACATCGGAACCACTTGTGAGGCTTTTAGTCCTGGTGTCTGGGCTGCGTCCCCTCCCAACGAAATCACAGTGTTGGGAGCAGGATCCTGCATTTGTATTTTTTTAAAGATCTCCAGGAATTCCAATGTGCAGCACGGTTTGGGGACCACTGGTTTAGGAGAACTTTAATTTCCAGACATTTTATGACAATGAGTGTGTACCTCTGAGAGAAGCAGGACAGGAATTCATTCTTATCCTCATTTCATAAGTGAGATTACTGAGGTCCTGAGAGGCTAAGCAAGGTCACAAAGTGGTGTCAGGCTCCAGGTAAGTGTCACTCCTTTGAATTGTCTAGGCCAAACTCAGCCTATAAGACTAGATTCTGGAAATGGTGGAAAGCGAGATTGGGTGGAGGCTGGGAGGGCCTTGAAAGCCCAGTGGATTGAACATGAGCCTTTGTGTCTGTAGGAGAAACAAGAAAGCCACTTCAATGTTATGCCTCCTGCCCTCCCATCAATGCCATTTCTGTCTGTAGACTGCTGGTCTGCATTTCATTTATAGGGAGAGAGAAAGCAACCTTTGTGCTGGCGTTGAAGGAAATTATAAAAGCCCACAGCTTGTCTTCAGACTTAATGTCAACTATTTGTGTCCTGCTATTTTCAGACAAACAAGTCCTCCCCATGGGTTTTAAGGTGGTCTCACACATTCCCTCCCTTGATTTTTATAGTTTCTCAGTCCCTGCATTAGTAGGTATGGGGAAAACCTACCATTCTGTAGAGTTGTCCTATGAGCCACACCGGGGTCCAGTGAGACAGGGTGAGAGCTTCTGAGCAAGACGGTGGGTTATACAGGTGTGCACTGTTGCTGAGACAAATGACTCACTAATAACCAGGCTTCCTTGAGGCTTCAGGGTTCACTAACCAGAAACTTAGAAGTAAGGATGAAAAGGATTATTAAAAATCCCCCAAATAGCATCAGCCCAAAACATATTTCCATCATCTGGCATGATTGATTAGTCTGTTTTACATACGGGGAGAAAAAGTACAGATTTCTAACAGCTCTGCAAATGTGGAAGATAAATCGAGCCCTCTTTCATTGGAGGTGGACAGGCATAGGCTGGGTGACCGCTTGAATGACATGCTGCATGTTATAGGGGACTTGAGATGGGTGACCTTAAATTCTGAGACCCTATGGCAGGTCTTAGAAGGAGAAATAAGATGGTTTAATTTCCACTTTTAAAAACATTACATGAAACTCTCTCTAGGTTAGAGAGCTACTTGAGTATTATTTCTTCCCTAGTCTCAGAAAAATGAAATTATGAATTCTTCTAAAAATACATTGTTGTGGAAGATTGCCGCTGAGACTCATAGCAGGGACCTTATGAGACCTGTATCTAAATAGGGCTGACAAAATCTAGACTTTTTTTTTTAGGAATATAAATGAATGTCCTATCCTTTGTTAGGTGTGTTATAATAACATTCTGAAATTTGTGAATACTTAACTTTATAAAAATACTGAAATTTAAGTTTGTCCCTGTCAAGACATACTCACTGGCATTCCATAAAAGTTCCTTGATTAGGAGAAAAAAGGGATGGAAAACCTGGGAATTGCTTTCTCAAGGGAGTGTTTCAAGCATGAGCAAGTTAGCCCTCGTGTATTACAGCTGAAATAAAGATTTAAAACCGTTACTCAGCCTAAACCATGGCTGCTCAGAGTATGGTCCATCGACAGCAACGTAAGCCTTATTTGGGAGTTACTAAGAGATGTAAATTCTCAGTTCCCAAAAAGAGACCACCTGATCAGAATCTCTAAGGGGTGGGGCCCAGGTATCTGTGTTTTCACAAGCTCTCCAGGTGATTCCAGTGCTTGCTAAAATTTGAGAAGCACTGCCCCAGACCAGTGGTTCTCCAAGTGTGGTCTCCAGACCAACAGCACCAGCATCACCTGGGAGCTTCTTAGAAACCATCTGTGACTCTCTTTCACTGGGTGTTGACAGGTGGAAGTAGAGGCTCCATGGCACTTTAAAATGTGTAAAGGCCACAGAGATGGAAAAACTGAACACAGTTGTCTGTCGGTATCCATGGGGGATTTGGTTCCAGGACCTACCTCAGATACCAAAATCTGTGGACGCTCAACTTACTGATAAAAAATGGTGTCATATTGGCGTATAACTTATGCATATCCTCTCGTATACTTTAAATCATCTCTAGGTTCTTATAATACCTAATACAATGTAAATGTTCTGTAAATAGTTGTCACACTGTATGGTTCAGGGAGTGATGACAAGATTTAAAAAAAGGCTGTACATGTTCAGTACAGACACAATTTTTTTTTCAAATATTTTTGGCCCACAGTTGGTTGAATACATGGATGAAGAGACCACAGATACAGAAGATTTAAAAAAAGGCTGTACATGTTCAGTACAGACACAATTTTTTTTTCAAATATTTTTGCCCACAGTTGGTTGAATACATGGATGAAGAGACCACAGATACAGAGGGCCGACTATATGTAAAATAATGAATTCTTGGATAAAAGCATGTGTCTCAGGACAGAAAAGGAATTAAAGAGACCTCCTGGACCCGCTTCCTGTCCTAGGTAGTTAATAATATAATTTTACAAATCTCCAGTGTTTTTATTTCTTTTCCCTTTTGCTTTAGGTCAGTGGTTGCTGAATCAGAAACTCTGGAGGTGGCCCCAGAAATCTGTGTTGTGTTTTTTTTTCCTTTTTTTTTTTTTGACTCCGGTAGGTAAGGGGATCGCAACCCTCGGCATGGTGTGGTCCGCACCACGCATAGCCAGTGAGAGCACCGGCCATCCCTATATAGGATCCGAACCCACGGCCATGGTGCTACCAGTGCTGCACTCTCCTGAGTGAGCCACGGGGCCGGCCCAGAAATCTGTGTTTTTAACAAGCCCTCCAGATAGGTGCAGCCTCCAGTTTGAGAACCACTAGACCGTAGTTCCCATCAAGTTTCCCAACCATGGAGGTCAAGCCTTTGCTTCAGTGGCCCACCTCTGTCACCTTGCCCCTAATTCCAGGCTAAGAAGTGCAGGTGGGAGGGTGGGGACTTGGTACACGTGCAGTAACATGGCCACACTTGGATTCTGCTAAAGAAGATGGCATGGTTTCGAAATGGGGATATTTTCTCCTTCACTTTCCTCCGCAGACCCACCTCCACACAATCCCCAGGCCTGGGCAGCCACTCACTCCTTTCAAGCTAGGGGACCAGAAAGCAGGACACCTGGAAGCTGTCATACAGTCTAAGGGTCTTGAGCAAGGCCAAGCCTGCAGGCTTTTGTGGGGCTCCACAGAAGGCAGGTCCTCTTCTCTGAGGGTGGAAACACCCTAACCTCCTGCAGAGACGGGAGGACTCAGGATCCTGGGTGGCTGCTAATCACTTTCTTCTCAGGTCAGTTTGAAGAGGAGGCTCTGGCTAACACATGTATTTTCCCAAAGATATTTGGACTTTTGATGTGAAGAAATCTGCAAAAGCAAAAGAGAACACTGATGCAAGAAAGAAGACAGAAGAAGGTAGGATTGAGGGCATTAATGGTGGCAGCTCCCCCAGCAGGGCGGCTAAGGTTGGAGGATCCGGGACGAGAGACACGCTCAGTGGCCAGCTGCCCATGTCATACTTGTAGAGATGCAGCATGTCCAGGAGCGGGAAGGGGCTGCTGCTCATGGTGCTACAGACAGTTTTAGTTTTGCCTCTGCAGATTCATGCAAATGCCCTAACCTGTAAGATCTTTGCATATTGCATTTGCTTGGGGGAGACAAGAGTGAACAGTCAATTCTGTGCTTGGAAACGTGGATGTGAATTTTCTAGTGAGAGGTGATGTCACTCATCTGGCCTTCCTCAGGCAGGGTAATACATGGCTTGCAAGGAGACAGAACCTTTCCGCAGCATGTTCTTTAGTGACAGATCTGTTCCTAGACAAGTGGCAGCTCCTGAACATTCATGAGGTGGCCTGGGAATAACTGCATGACTGCATCTTCTCTCGATTATTCCCATTTACAGGTTTTTTTTTCTTTATGGTTTTGAATTCAGGTTGGAGATGAAAAGATGTATCTTTTTTTTTTTTTTTCCTTTTTTATCTTTTTTACTGACCGGCAACGGGATCGCAACCCTCGGTGTCACGCCCACACCACGCTCAGCCAGTGAGCGGGAACCGGTCTCCACATGGGATCCGAACCCTCAGCGGGAGCACCCCCGCACTCCCAAGCGGCGCACTCTCCAGTGCGCCACCGGGCCGGCCCGAAAAGATGTATCTTTTAATTCCCTTCCCTTCCAAATTCCTATCGAAGTGACCAAAGAAATGTAAAATTAGGGGAAGTATGCACTACTTGAGAAAATAGGAAGATCATAGCTGCAGCAGAGAAATCTTGAGGCGTTTCTGCTAGACAGAGTGAAGTTGCAAATGAAGGAGGGAGAGGTGGGCTTGCCAGTGATCTGGCACCTGCAGAGGAACAGGATGCTGTTTAAACTAATGAGCAGAATTTCTAGGAAAGACTCCTTGCCCCAAACACCCAAAACTTCTGGCCAACAACTCTAGTGAAGAGCTTACAGGTTTTTGAGCACATTAAACTTGATTTCAAACCCACCACTTGTTACTTGTGCAAGTTAGCCAGCCTCAGTTTTACCCTCTGTGAAATGGAGATAATACCTAACTTATAAGGTATAACAAGGATTAAATGAAATAGTGCAGGCCAGGAGACACAGGCAAAAGATTGTTGCCATATGGTGATTACTATAGGTCATCATTGTGCTAAAAGCTTTACATAAATTATCTCTAATCCCTAAGAAAGCTCAAGGGTCAAGAAACTTGCCCAAAGTTCACAGCTATTAAGTGGGTAGAGTTGGAATTTGAAACAGTCTAAGTGCAGAGCTCATGCTGTCAAGCTTTAAGCTTTATTGTTCCAAGCCCCTAAAATATATTGCTTTATTTAGCCTTATAGTAGCCATTTTTATTGGTGGAAAAATAGAAGTTCAGGCGTTAAACAATTTGAGGTTATACAAATACAGTCATGTGTTGCTTAACGACAGGGATGCGTTCTGAGAAATGCATCATTGAGTGATTTTGTCATTGTGCCAACATTCTAGAGTGTCCTTACACAAATCAAGATGGCATAGCCTATGACACACCTAGGCTTTATGGTATAGCCACTGTCGTATATACGGTTCATCAAATGTCATTGTGTGGCACGACTATACTTAAATCCAAGCCTGCTTGACGCTATGTCTCCTGCTCTTGATCATTCCGCTGTTTTTTAGTTGACATATACTCCACACAATGTCATTCTGTCCCCCAACTGTGGATTGAATTTTATTCCTACTGAATACAAGGGGCACATTAATGAGGAGGACTTCAAAATGTGGTTCCAATATCCTTCAGTCCTTTGAAAAACCGAATGCTTGTATTGCCTCTAAATTGTCTGCATTTCTCTTTGCTGGTAGGACTCACAGAAAACATTGGACTTCCCCTGAAACTGCTTGAAAAACATAACCCTTGGCCAGCCTATGTCACATACACCTCCCCAGTGGTGAAAAGACTCATTGAGAAAAGCAAAACGAGAGAACTGGAAAGCATGCGTGCTCTCGAGGAAAGCCAACAAGCGTCGTGTCAGAACGAGCTGTCCAGCGTCATTCAGCTGAAGAGAAGAAAGTCATCCAGGTCCTCAGGTGAAACTGTGTTCAAGGACACGCTGCCTGAGAGCGCATTATCGGTGTGGGGCAGTTACTCCTTTTTGGCCACGGGGCCTGCCATTACCCCAGAACCCATGCACTTACATACGGATTCCAGAGAAAGTCCCACTGCAAACTACAACAAGATCATCTTTGCCCGAAAACCCATGATGAGGAAACTTCCATATAGCTAGCTGTTGGCCAGCAAGGAGAAACATTCAAATGTTTAGCAAGGAGTCCCTGCAGCCATCCCCTACGAATGTACAGCTATTAAGCTCCATTTGCCACAATGTCACTGCGCCCTTTAACTTTGGACTTGCTCCTCCTGCTCACGCAGAGGTGGGCTGAGAGAAGCCAGGTGAGAAGGTGGGCCCTGGGAAGGTGGGTGCATTCCTGCCAGCACTGCAGTCCCAGGCTCTGGGTCCTGCAGAGATGCTGAGGACCTAACTGTGGGTGTGTTAATCTGGGTCCAGGCTGGAGACAGAAACCACACCAGTTATTTCACCAGAGATGATTTAATATAAAGAATTATGAAGCAGGCAACTGAAAAGAGCAGAAAGAGCATGCAAAGGTCTGCACGGAGGTAGCACCTGCAGGAAGTAGTTCTCACCCCTAGGGCTGGGGGAATGAAGGGAAGACTTTGGCTGTATTAAAAGTCAGATGCTTGGAGGAGGGGCGTGTGGGCTGAATCCCCGACTTCTGAGGTCAGGGAGAGCAGATGCGGGGATGGCACCCCCATCTCTGAGGAGGGGGAGCCGTTCAGCTGGTGTCTCTGAGGGGACACCCGTGAGGCTGGTTCTGTGAATGCTAGATACCCTGAAAATTGGAATCCAATGCTTTTGGAAGGGGTTGCCACTGCCTGGGTGAACAAATAGGGTTGCTAGGGAAGCTAATGGACAAGACGCCAACAGAAGGACAGCAGGGTGCAAACAAGAAGCAGACAGGAGTGCGTTCCTTTTAGCTCCTCCAGCCTTGCAGGCCCCCACTAGCGCCTCCTGTAGGCACAGTTAGGGCACAAAGCAAGAATGTGGTTTGCAGAATCCCAACCAGGGCATCTCCAAGCATAGTATAAAAAGATGGATTTTGAGGCAAAGAGAAAATTAGCATACTAAACAAAACGGTGCACTTCTGAGCGATCCCACCCTGCTGCTCCACTTGGCACCTGAACCCGGTGTTGAGATGTTTTTCCCTTGGAGGGCTTACCAAGTGGCAGTGGGGGCCAGGGTGTCCCCTGCTGAGACATGGAGGATTTTCCTCCCTGTACTTCTTTAAGGTTTGCCTTGTGGAGCAGAGCTGGGGGGGGAGACCTTCCTGGTTGGACTCCAGCTGTTATTTGTTGACAGACGACAGCTAGAATTGGTCCACCCACGCTCTGCATGGTCCCCAAAGCAAGTGATGCTTGAATGCTCCTTGGTCTCCAAGCAGACCAGCTTTGTCGTTAGACCCAAGGGGGTTCGGGTTATGACAGGCAGGTCCAGCCAGTCTTGTGTTCGGGGTTTATCTGCTGCACATGGTTGACCCTACCTGGGTTTCTGTGTTTGTACTTGCAAGGCAGTTAGTACCGCTTGGCTTGCCTCCCAGAGATGCAGAGGATGTGATGCTAGTGGACAAAAGTACTGTCCGTAAAGGTCGAGTTTGCCCTCCAATGCATTCTCTCCATCTGAGAGTCTCGTGTAAACATTTGCAGATGCCTATGGGTAGAGCTTTGGAGACTTCATCTGTGGCTCCTCTGTATTTGTGTTGGAACATTTGCACAAATTAGGAGATCCAGACCCATTCTTGGCTTCCCAAGCCTTGGCCAGAATGAATTCTTGCAAAAATATAGAGGGCTTCCACTGAATCTGAATGACTGCATTTTGTGTCCATGGAATGTTACAGACATGGAGGCAGGTGATAAATTCCTCCAACAAGAACTTTATCCCTTCTGTCCTTCTGGGGATATTTATGGCCAGGGTATATTCGGGAAGGTATGGATTATAGAGCTTCATTCAGTGTTAGTTTACAGGGATTTGGGATTTTTTCTCTAATTCCTTTAAGGGCTGACTGGAGTGGTAATTTACTGAAGTTTGTGCAGTTTTTTTTTTTTTTTTTAAATTTCTAGGTGTTTAACAGTATTTACAAAAGTATGTACTCTCTAAATTAAAATGATTGTTTTATAGATAGCATTATTTAGATTCATTTGATTCTCAGCCTATTATAACCACGATGCAAGTGTGAATCAAGGACATCATTAACACCTATGTTGTGATGAAAACTGCCTGAGATCTGTGACACAGCCCAGAAGCGTCACCTCCCGGGGCAATTTTAAGAAAGCAAAAATCCAATTTCCTTTGAAATGGGGAATTCTGCTAGAGCCCAGGCTGGGATTCACAGGTCTGGGCAACATAGAGCCGTGATCAGTCATGACTTTATCAATTCTCCCAGGGAGGAAGCAGTTGGGCAGCTGGCCCCAGTGATGAAGCTGCGGTCACTGGGGGAAGAGGGTGATTCTGGGTGACCTATGGTGTCTGATGCTTAGGTTTGTCTTCTGGTTCCAACCTTGGGCGCTATGGGGGTGAGGATCAGCAGGCCAAACTCTCAAAGGGCTCTTTTGCTAAAATCCTAAAAGGCCCTGGAGTGCAAATGCAAAGAGATCTTCTTGACTTCACAATGCCTCAGCATGCAGGTCCCCCTGCCCAGGGTGTGGACGAGAAACAGCCAGGTCTTGGTGGAGGCCAGGGGATGCTTGGCAGGACTAGCTTTGCTCAGGAGAAACTGAGAGACTTCCCTGGAGCTCCCAGAAATAGGCATGGAGCGCTTCCTGGGGCCCGAAGTCCACCATGAGCAGGCAGGATGTGGAGTGGAATGTGGATTATTCCCAGTGCAACCTCATCTGCCTGTCCAAGCTGGAGGGGCCCAGTGTATCTCAGGTTCCTCTGAACGTATTTAACTTCCACCTCTAAGAGGGAGCTGACTCTCATGTTCCACAGCCCACAGCTTGTCCTTCTTATTTACCTCATCTGCATTTGGAATCCTCTGCTTGGCAGGAGAGCCGGAGCAATTCGCCTCCCTGCTGTAGTAGGTTATGAAATAGCAGAGTATGTATTTTGTTAGCCCGTCTGTGTTGCTCTGTAACTAAGGCCCCATTCTGACACAGATCGAGCAGCTGTCTTTGAACAGATTCTTTGGCCCCTGTGCACAATATGGTATTTACCCATTTGCAGATTCCATGGTTGGTGTTTAAACAGTTGATGTTTAACCTCGGCAGCATGACTGAGCCTGCTGGTCATTTTCACTTTGGCAGGGACCGTCAGAGCATCTCCACATTCTGCACCCTCCCTAGCTGTGTCCAGGAGCATATCTTGGAGGGGATTAGGCTTCTTGACAGATAAGAGACTTCAGGAAAGTCTTCAAGGAGGTAACTGTGTACACAAAGGCTCCGTGTAGGTGTGGATGAGCCAGATGTTTGGGGGTGGCCTCGGAGCCCTCTAACTGGAATGGGAGGCCAGGTGGGATCAAATAGAAGAACTGTAGGCTTTAGTAGCAGCAGGTCTAGAGCCACGTTGAAATGGGATCAGAACAGCATTATGAGCAAATCCTGCTCTTCCTTTCATTGGCTCAAGGTCCTTATGTATAAATGCCAAACAATCCCCTTAGTGTTTAAAAACTTTTTGTAGGATAGAGAGAACAAAATGGGTACCTTGGGTAGGGATTTTGATATGGGCCTTGATGGGGGTCTTGGGAGGTAGCTGAGAAGTCACATGAAGCAGGGGACCCAGCAGAGGGCAGAGACCAGCTCACCACATTGCAGTTCCAACCAGGGACTGATGATGTGTTCATGAAGACAAAAAACTAGAAGTAGGAATTCCAGCCCTGAAGCCTCGCTCAGGTGTCAACAGCGATCGTAAAAAGATTGTAAAAGTGCTTTGTGGGCCGTGTCCAGCAAATGTGCACATCTGGGCAATGTGGCTCTTTGCAGCCTTAATTGAGGCCTTCCTTCTTCGAATCTTCTTGGAATCCCCACACTTCTAGACCAAGGGGCACATTTTCGGAATCCACACATTATCAGCACCAGATATGGTAAGGCAGATTGAGAAACCAGAGGAGGGGAGCTGCAGAAGAGAAATACATGGGCCTGAGATTTACTGAGATCTGATGTTGTCAAAGCCCCGGCTGAAGCTTAGGGCTGGGTTGACGTTTGCCAAATAATCGAGAAAACCTCTCTCTCCCTCCTTCACTGCACTCTCCCCTACCCCCATCTCTTACCAGAGACCCAAGGCCTCAGTAGCAGCTCAGGATGATTTTCTAAACTGGAGGGCATGGCGTGGCCATCCCAGCACTGAGCATGTATGTGGGATTCCTTAGAGCAGTTGAGCAGGGCCAGCGGGACATGCAGGAACACCTCATGTTAGTTGGGGCCGCTGCTACCACATATTCTGTGCCTCGATCCTGACCACGGTCCCATTCCTCCATGGGGCAGGGCAGGGTGTCAGGTGGCATGAAAAGGGCCTTAGATGTGGTGTCAAGACCCCTTTTTCCCAGGCTCTGTATTTCAGAGCCAATAAAAGTTCCTACCCCACGGATGGCATATCTAGGAAGCTTCTGTCGCTGGGGGCCCAGCAACGCTCATGATATCAATTCACTTCCTCTCTAGATTCAATTGTTCAGTCACCCAGAACATTCCGTTACTTTTGGTAGACAAAAGAATGCATGAGAAGCTGCAGAATTTTAGGCAAGTGAGAAACCGTACTCTTGGGATCATTTCTGTGAGTCTGCCCATCGGGAGGATTTTTGTGGAAAGCAACGTCAGTACTGGAGGAAGTTATGGCTGGAAGTTGTTCTGGAGAGTACCAGGAGCTCTGTCACATGAGTGCACGTTGGAGCATGTCTACGACCACTTCACTGCCCGTAGGCTTGGGGTCATGCTTGCCTAGTTGACAAGGTAACTGCTGAAGTGGGAGAGCCCCTTTGGGCTTGGAATCCAGGCCTCTCAACTCCAAGTGCAGGCTGATTCCTCTGGATCAGACCTCCTCCTCGGCTTCATCAGTGACAATCCTGCTGGTGTCCTCACGTGGGACGATGTGTTTAGCCCGTGGCTGCCGGCCAGCAGGCTTGGGGTCATGCTTGCCTAGTTGACAAGGTAACTGCTGAAGTGGGAGAGCCCCTTTGGGATTGGAATCCAGGCCTCTCAACTCCAAGTGCAGGCTGATTCCTC